TTTTATGAAGCGCTGTGAGATAACTGTTGTTGTGATTTGGTGCTATATAAATAAATTTTAATTGAATTGAACTCTGACAAGCCTGTCACATTGAGACGAAATGCTAAGTTGGCAGATGGGTTTCTATGTATGGCACTGGAAAATTTCAGCGACTCCCAGCCCAGCATCCAACACAACGCGCAACGGTCGGCAGCCAACCCCATCCATTGCAATGAGGAGCCCAGTCTAACCACAAAGGTATCCAGCCTACCTGATCATCCCAACTCAGACTCGGACGAGATGTAGGAGCGGGAAATCATTAGCAAATCCAGCAGCCAGTATGCATCTCCCTTGGTGCTAGTCTGGAAGAAGTCAGGCGATATAAGGATTTGGGTGGCAACGCCTTTTTCTCTACAATGGACCTCACCTCTGGGTACTACAATGTGGAAATTCACGAGGAAGACAGGAAGTACACTGCTTTCACATCACCATTTGCATTGTATGAATACAATTGGATGCTTCAGGGACTTTGTAATAGCCCAGCAACATTCACGAGGATGATGCTAGGCATCTTTGGTGACCAGAACTTCCTTAGTCTGCTATGCTATCTGGATGATGTCTTGGTGTTCGCCCCCTCAGAAGAACTGGTATTGGAACGACTGGATTTGGTCTTTCAGCGGCTCAAAGCTCATAACCTCAAGCTGGCCCCAAAGAAATACCACTTCTTGCAGAGGTCGGCGACACATTGTGGATGCTGATGGCATAAGGACTGACCCAGATAAAGTAGTGGCCATCACATCCATGACAGAGTCAGAGCTTATGGAGCAAGGACTGACTAGAGTGCCGTATGACAATCTACTGTCAGAAGCGGCTCCAGTGTGCACACATGGAGTGCGGGAGGCTTTCCGCTGGTCGGCTCATCCAATCGATAAGGCCCAAGCCAGCCTATCGCTTCTCAGCTACAGTTGCTCAGGCTGGTACTCATCAAATGAGGTTGCAGCTGTTTTCCATGCACACAACAGGCAGGACTCCGGAGTGTGTCCGCACGCACGCACTACTACTGCCTCAGTTTTCCCAGACTGTGCTGACCTCAGAGCACATTGACCCAGAGTTGCTCTCACGTGATGTCCTGGTGGACAAACAGCAATGCGACAATGTTCCTTGTGGAAAGAGGACGGAGACCAAGGAGAAAACGTGCTAAAGAACCAGTTGGAGCCATTAAGATGCTGAAAGGCTGGGAAAAGTGGACATTGAGGGATGGTGTGCTGTATCGTGTGGCAAAAAACGCTGTCACGAAGAAGAAAACTTACCTGTACATTGTCCCATCTTCTCTGCGATCCAGGGGGCTGATTGGTGTTCATGATGAGGCTGGCCACCAGGCACAACAGCGAACATTGTATCCTGCCAAGCAGAAGTTTCATTGGCTAGGGTTGAGGAAGGATGTGATGGAGTACGTGGGTTGTTGCAGGCGGTGTGTTGTGAGCAAGTCACCAGAGCCTGAAGCAAGGGCACCTTTGGAAAGCATCAGAACGTCGACACCTCTTGAGCTGGTATGCATCGACTTCTGGATGGCTGAATACTAGTCACAGACCTTATAAAATATCCAAGTGAAGTCAGTGTGAGTGAACACATGCACATAAGATAACTTTTTAAATGTTGACTTTTATTGGGAGTTATCTCTAAAAGACTATTTACTGTCCATGCAACCATGTTCCAAATAACATAATATTGAAATATTGATACAAACAGTGAATCAACAATCCTGTCACCAAAAGCACACCATGCTTTACAGGCCTGTAGTATGAGAACGGGGCATGAATTGATCAATCGATTGATACCCTGGATGTCTATGTAGCTCCTATGGGTTGGCCAGCAAATGGCAAAAAAGACCATGTGTTCCAAAGCGGCACTTCTCCTGCTCTGCAGAAAAGGTTGAGAGACATCAGGCACAGCGCCCAGGTATTACACAGTAATCAAGATGGCGCCTGGTGATGTCTCTAGCAACAAATCAGCTGATATTTGGACTGAAAACGGCGAACACGGCCAAAGTAAGTCAGCTGTGTTTAAGGGCATAGAAACAGGTAGGGATGGTAGCGACATGTCTGTCAATATCCAACAACTACTGAACTGTCCCTTCTGTCAGAGAATTTAAATATGACCACTGTTGTCTGTTAATGTCTAGTCAACGTATTTGGTACACAGAATCCAATGGCGGTGGTGGTGGCCCAGTGTATAAGACACATGCCTTTGGTGTGAGAGACCCGGGTATGAATCCAGTGTGAGACACCAATGTGTCCCTGAGCAAGACACTTAAACCCTCGTTGCTCCAGAGGCGTGCGACCTCTGACATATAGCGATAAAAGTAAAGTTGCTTGAAGTCCAGTGTGAAGTTTCACAGTGATGTCATTTCCTCTGCTGGTGTTGGTCCACCAGCCTTCAAGAAGAAAGTGAGAGACACCAAACCAACAATCCAGACGAGCTGAAGGCCGCTATCAGAGCAACCTGGGCTTCATATCAGCAGCTCCACAGGCTGAGGTCTGTTCTTTATTCTAATATTCTAGTAATTTGAGATATGGATGTTTGATTTCTTTGAGTTGTAAGCCGTAATCATCAAGATCAAAAGAAAAAAAAAAGACCTGAAATATTTCTTAAAATGTAATGAATCTAAAATATATAAAAGTTTCACGTTTTGGCTTAAATTACGGACAGAAATGAACTTTTTCAGCATATTCTACCTTTCTGAGATGCTCCTGTAAGCCTACTTCATTTGATGTTCTTTTTTATTGCTTTGTTTTAACTTGTGCACTATTTATGCCTGATATTCTCTGTTTCTAATTTGTTCTTCTGTACATTCTGTTTGAGCATCGTGGGAGGAGCCTGGGAACAGAATTGATTTGCCACTCTTCAGGACCATGGGGACTGAGCCGACCTTCTACGCCTCCTGACTCAAATCTGTTTGATCCCCGACCTCTGCTCTGAACATTGATCAGGTAAATGTTTTCTAACTTCATCTCATCTGAGTCGTGCTTTTGAGTCTTCATATCTGGGTCCAGAGACCAGCTGACCTATTAGGAACCTCTTATCAGGAGACAGTGGTTCAGCGATCGTGAGAAATAAGGGGGGTATCAACATGAAATGGAAGAAGTCAGATAATGAGTGTGTGCACGTCTTCATTCATGTGGGCAGCATCTGATAAAGCAGCTGAGTGGAGGAAATACTGATAAATTCTTTCCAGTTGCGTGTTTCGGACGTTTATGTCACATATAACTCGTCACAGCGGACAGTTAGAGCTTACTGGGTTTTCTTACTGATCAAAAAATACCACAGAGCTTCCTGCTGCTCTCACATCCAGTTTGTTTCACCACCGTCACACAGAAATCAGGCTGCAGCACAAACACAAATGAATTAATGAAGTCATTTTGTTGTTGAAGTGCATGAGCATAGGTTTAGCTTCAGCACTGGAGGGGAATTTTTCTGCACCAGTTTCTGGCTTCTTTTCTGCATCTATTGATGGTGAAAATGTCATTTATTTAAACCCAAACACCAAAAACCTGAATGTAAATAACTGCCACATTGTTTTTTCTGTTATTCTTTTATAGCTGGATCCAGCGGTCGCGTTATGCTGATTGTTTAAAGCTGGCTGTCACGAGCTACAGCTACGGATTTTATAGATATAAGCAGAACATCAAAAGAAGGATAAATGCCCAGGAGGTTCTGGCAAAGACACGAGTGAGGGAGCTCCATTTGTTTTAATCCTCACAGTGTAGACTAACTAAAACAGCAAGTTATTATTACCAGCACTTTGTTTTAACTGTGTTCTGTCTGGGCTAGCAGACCCTGGTGCAGGACTAAGAGAATGAGGAGTTAGATTAAAGAGGAATATTTGCTGCGGGGTTGAAGGGACGGGAGATTGAGCCGGGGAAAGCAGAAGATCAGGTGCCGAACCGGGTTAGTGTCTGCTGTGCAGAGCAGGTTGGTACTGGACCTACCATAAAGCTCCTGTCTGATTAAAAGCCTGTTTGAATAGCAGAGTAAATAATTGACAGAACTGCGTAGTAACGGAGGCAATGCATTCCACAGCCTAGGAGCCACTGCTTGAAATGATCGAGACCCTCTGGTTTTAAAAAGAGTGTGGGGAACCACTGACAGCCTCAGGTGCAACAGGTGGGAGTGTGAAGCTGTATGGAGTCAGAGATGTGTCCGTGCAGCGCTCTAAAAGTAAGGACCAGGACTTTAATCTGAACTCCAAACTGGACTGGTAACCAGTGAAGTGATGGTGAAACAGCTGTGATGTGCGCTCTTTTGTTCATGTGAGTTAGAAGCCTTGCAGCAGAGTTCTGAACAGCCTTAAGAGACGGTGAAGCTCCTTCTTATTCAAACAAGTGAAAAGACAGTTACAGTGATCTAAAGGAGACCAAATAAAAGCATGAATGATCCTCTCAAATTCAACCTCTGACACCAGAGCTCTTAGTTTGGATGTACAGTGTTTCTCAGTTGGAAGAAGCAGTTTCTAATTAGAGAGTCCAAAAAACTCTTTTTGTGAGCAGTTTGTTCTGTGAGAGGCCGTTTAGGGGGAAAATACTGAAAATGTTCACACTTCATAAACTGGGTCAGATAAAGTCTTAGTGCCTTAAATGTAGCTGTACGTCAGCTCTTTGACAGGAAGAAACATTTTTAATCAGTGAGTTTATCATCAGCAACAATCTTATATCCTGTTTTTAGCTGAGCTTGGTGTGTCAACTGCCAGCCTAAAGCCAGGATAATGTCAGGTGGCAGGTTTGTTGAGTGAAGCTAGCGAGCATCAGAAAGGACGGGGAGCTGCCATTTAGTTTCCTGTTCTTTTGAATATGTGGCTCTTCAGCTGAATTCCTCTCCTCCAGCTAGATCTCTAAATATCTCCAGGCCACCTAAATACTGTGCAGGTCTTTCAGTGTTTTCACCCTGAACAGCCTTTCATACTGGTTTTCTCCCTGATCCAGTAAAGAGATCTGAATTCTAACACGTGCTGTTTAAAGTCCTACCTGAGCTCCACAGCAGCAGCAGCAGCAGCAGCAACAGGTGATCCATGTCCAGGTAGACCGTCTCTCTGGCCGTCCGCCTGCTCTCTGCTCTGATCATCACGTGCTGTCCTCAGTGTAGATCTGTGTACAGGAAGAGGTGGAGCTTTACTGGAACACAGCTCATTCAGCTGGCTTTAGTTTCACAGGGAGGAGAGTCCTCGTTTGACTGAGTCTCTGTCACAGGAGACAGTGAGACCAGACCAGAACACCAGGACAGACCAGAACACAGACAGTGAGACCAGACCAGAACACCAGGTCAGACCAGAACACAGACAGTGAGACCAGAAGTTTTGAGGCGAGAAATCAAATATGTAGATGTCATATACACTGTAAAAAAGGATTGGATCAATAAGTTATAGGAACTTCTTTCTATAATTTACCTCCACTTAACATAATAAGTTATGAAATTTCAACTTAATTTAATGAGTTTTTCACTATTTCAACTCAGGTTTGTAAGCCAGTTCAGTGAAATGTAAATTTCAATGTGTTAATTTATAAGTGTGAGTTGGAATATGGTAACCGGATCTCTTAAAAAGTGACCATGACCCCGGTGTGGCAACAGTATTAATGCGCGGTGCAAATAGTGCTGAATATTTTCTCTTGATCTGATATACGACTAATAACTATGCTGATTGATTTTTGTAACACATTAATGAGGTGCACCACCCAATTGCAATTCCCCATTGAGAGAAGAAGAGGAACACAAATTAAGCCGACTGACAATGGTGAGCAGATAAGCAGCGGATGAATACGTTATTTTCCAGCAAGATGTAGATGAGACTTGGTAGTGGAAAAGCGGGTCTTTTCGGATTGGAGCAAGAGAAGAGTAGCGTCGGCATTTCAGAAATTAGCCTTGACCAGGTGAGTTGCTACTTAACTTAATGTTAGCTGCTTCAGCAAAATTAAGAGGATTTGGGCTTTCTTAACATTGTTAGCTAATCTGTGACGAGTTTCTTTTGCAATGTTATTCGCTTATTAGTGACTTTGTACTCAGCTCCAGCTTAACATGCCAATAAAAAAATAAAAATAGCGGGAGGAAGGTAGACTTTACTGGCGCCATCGTGTGTTTCACTGTCACTGATAACATTAGTTGATTTTGACTCTCTTTTTTTTGAAAGAGTGCAGTGACGTTAAAACGGCAGCCTCTGATCCACCACATCTGTTTTAACAGGCAGTGGCGAGTTATTAAATCAATGTTTCCCATACGTAATTTATCTGTGGCGTCCCGCCACAACATCAACGCAGACTGCCACATATTGATTTCTTTTTTTTAACTTAAAATCTAAAATTTGATTGCATTGGCGCAGCACATCCTCTCACCCGCCCCTCTCCCTCATGAACACAGCAAAAGAAGAGGTTATAGTAAACATTTATACTTAAAACTATGTATTTTTTATCACTTTTCAGGTAAAAGTAGTCTACAATGCTGCTGCTGTCATCATATCAGAAAATGAAGACATCCCACCCAGTGTTGAGGAGCTGTATCAGGTGTTGCGAACAAAGCTTGGTCTGAGAGGTGGATTCATTTTGCAATTTGAGGATCCTGAGTTCAATAATCAGTTGTGCAACCTAAAGACATCAAAGACCTTCCTGTGGGGCGGGCAACTGTGAAAATGTTGTTCACAGCTGATGACGTCTCAGATTCTACACTGGACACTTGCAGCCTCCCTTCTCTTAGTGGAGATTGTGTTGAATGGCCTGACCCCTTCCCGATTCCACGGTTCTCACATGATGTGGAGCTGCAGCTGAAAGAAGCCAATGCTAAGGACGGATCTGTAATGGTGATTCCTAAAGGTTTAAAGACATTCTTGATATACTGGCCGACAGTATGTCAAAGATTAGTGCTTATCCTGAGAGGCATCACTATGAGAATGTAGCCAAAGCACTTGTGGAGAAGCATCCTAGTCTGAAGGAGCCAGGGTCTGAAAATGGATGGTACTCGTGGTTTCACAGCCTGAAATTTAAGCTTGGAAACTATCGGCAAAAGTTAAGTGCAGCAGGATGCCCTGAGGTGGTGGTAAACAAAAGAAAAGGAGGAGGTTTAAAGTGTGAAAAAGGGTGAGGTCAACTACTGTCCAGATCCGCCTGAAGGACAGAGTCCTGAAAACATGGAGGAGCAGCGTAATATGATGGAGGCTGAAATGCTGAAAAGAGACCCTGATCCCCAGCTGGTAGAAGACCTGATGGTTGCTACATTTTCCCAGCGCAGAAAAGAGATAATTGGAGATCAGCCACTCATCACAGAAGTCATTTCCAGATGGCCAGCTCTGTTCCATGAGAGACAGGGACTCAGTTGAGAGATAGAAGCACGTTTTGTCTGATACTGTGTCTTGTTTATAATTATGTTTGACTTATATTTTCTATCTGTCTTTCTCAGATCAGGGCGGAGTTCAAGAGAATCGTCACCAAAGACCTTCTGGAATCTTTTCTCGACAGACTTGATGGCCTGGTCCCAAGACTGCTGGAGGTGTACAAAGCAGCAACCAAGACTGGAAAGAAGCCATCACTCAAAGACATTTTGGACTGCCTTCAGAAAGATGTAAGTGGAGAGCAGATCATATAATAAATTTATTATCTTTGCTAAAACATTTTCATCTTACTGCATGTTTCTTTTCTTGTAGGATACAAATGAGAGGAGGAGGACTGCTGCCTTGCTTGGTCTGCCACACACATATCAGGCGAAGATCCATCAACTGTAGTCAGGATGTGTGACGTAAGACCATTATGATTTCTGTAACGCAAAACTGTTAGTGTGTATATGGGTGATTCTTTTACTGTGGGACTTTTTCTTTTCCCAGGGTAGATTTTCAAGAAAGAAAATACTTCATACCCCAACCCAGACTTATTAACGTTGCCTGTCTAATAGTCATGAAAACTCATTCAATTCATTCAAACTTTACTTTGCATTTTCTCATAACTTAAAGGACAGATTTCAAGTTCATGTGGTTTATAATGTGTAATTTACACTTTTTTTCTCTTATATATGGCTTATGTATGACTCATCTTTTAGAGAACAATTTTAAAACATTTGCTAAAGTGCTTCAGTGTCTGAACTATTTCTGTCTCACTTCCAAGGGTTGAAATGTTGAAAATGAATTGATAGTTGGTGTTACTGATCAGGTTCAGTCTATTTGGGGAACAACTAAAGGGGTGTGACTTTCCTGCTCTATATTTGAGGATTATGATTGCATTTTAAATTAGCCTTTTAAAGCCTATATAATTGTAGACTAAAACAGTCACACACTGTCTCTGCTTTTTAAGGCTCACGCAGAGACTCTGGATGAAGCCATGAAGGTGATGCAACTTGGCCTGCTGATGAAGGTGCTGAACGGGAGGCCTTTCCACGGGAGGTCTTCGAGATAGCTGTTGTGGTTGAGGAGACAACATTAAAGATGTGGCATGCAGCTTGGCCATGCTCATGGGTGTCATCTACTGTGTCAATCTCGAGTACCCAGAAGCCATGAAGTATTCCTTTGAGTTTCTTCAGAGAGTGGTGATGAAGATAAAACCAGACCAAGCATCTGCCCGAGAACATGGACTAAGAAACAGAATCCTGGGGTACAGACTGTAACACCTGCTCCTCGTTTTCTCAAGATTCTCATGTGGAAATGGTTCCTGTCAAGACTTCATTGTTCTCTTTTATATGCACTTTCAGCACTGTGGAAAAACAGCACTGTCTCACAATTTAAAACTGTTAATTTTTGAGAAATTTTAATTTTCCCTGCTTTATGTTAATAGATTGTGAGAGCTGATAGTCTCGACTGTTCAAGTCTTGTGACGTTAGAAGTGGAGCACTTAAGTCAACACAAACCAGCCTCAAAGTTCTTTATTTTTAATGGAACAAGACTGTAATGGACTTGGACATTTGAGTTTTGTGCATTTCCTTTTTAATATTACTACTCATTAGTCACCATGTTGTAGAAATCACAAGCATTTTACTGATTACAGCTGATGGTATCAACTGTTCTCTCCTCAGACAGACGTTTTTTTTATTGTTAAATGCAGTTGCAGGCAAACGGTCTCAAGGTTTTATCATCTCATTTAAATGAACTGATTGGTATAAGAGTTGGTTGGGTTGACCTCGCTCTCATAGGTGACTATGTTTAAATACTGTTAGAACATGTTAAATTATCATAAATATGGTCTCACTTTGGCACTTGTGTAGTCTGAGATAAATGTTTTCATTGGCTTTTAGGCTTGTTGCATCAATTACAAGTGTATCTGAAGGAGACGAAGGCTGTGAGTTGAGGTACTTACAATAAATTCTTGAATACATGAAGAAACTGGTGAACTTGCCATTATTAGTTGAGATAGGGGCTGGAAATTAAAAACACAAGTCTACTTAATTTGAAATTATAAGTTCAATTGCTGCCTTAAAAACATGAGTTAACCTAACTTCAAAAGACAATTGGTATGAATATAGTCAATTATCTTAACTTAAAAATGTGAGTTGAAAGGGTATAGACTTGCATGTTTCTTTGACAAAAAAGAGTAAGTTTCATTGACTAGACAATGTAATACAGATAGTTGGTTTAACCCACAGTATCAAGTTGAAACAATAAATGATCATTAATTAAACAACTTGTGGAAGGTAACACCATGAGTTAAAATAAAGCTTTTGTTAAAGTTGAGTTTACTCACATTTTTAAGGCAGCAATTGAACTTAAGTTTTTAAGTTAAACTACCTTGATAATTTTTACAATGGATTGGCAGTTGTATAATAACTGATGTTGAACTGAAAATGTGCGCAACGGCAGAGGAATCTAAGGAGGCGGCCTGCCGATCACGCTCACAGAGGTCCTACGGTAAGACAGCTGCAGCCTGTCTGTTATTGTCTGTCATTACATTTTGAGTATTTAAATCAAATCAAGACATCTGGGTCGTGGTGTAAAGAACATTCTTGTCTTGTGAAACTTTAAAAAAATAAATCTGTCGTTACTTTATTTTATTATTATTCTATCAGACATTATATTGTTAGTGACAGTTGTGGTTGCAGTTCTTGATTTCTGTTGCTTTTATTTGATAGAATTCTTATTTATGCACCAATAGACCAAAGCAAATTACTTGGAAGTTAAAACTTGTCAGTAAACCAGATTCTGATCTTTTTAGTTTGGGTGATAAAGCCTGGCTGTTTTTGGAGCTCTGCTCCCTCTGTGCTGGGGGGATTGTGCAATATTGCGACAGTCATTTCCTGTTAGAGCCCAACCGCAGTCTTTGATCTGAGATAACACTAACCTGTCAAAAATAATGCACTAAGCAAGTAAGTACACAGTGTACGCAGTGTACTGCATGTTAGTGTACTCAGACCAGAACACGTCCAATGATGTGTTGCAGTAATCCAGTCTGGAGGAGACAAAGGCCTGGACCAGCTTTTCAGCAGTACAATGATGATTACTGTGATTATTGATTATTGGTTACTGTGATTTTCACAATAACTCTTTCATTACTGTAATTATCCGTTATACACAATGTGTTACTGTGTATTAGTACACTGTAACTGACTGTGCACAAACACAGAACATTACTGTGGATCGTTCCTCCCTGGAGAGACTCAAAAGCTGATACGGATACTTGTTAATATTTCCTGCTGCCACGGAGTCCTTTACAGATTTCTCCTTAGCTGTCAAAAAAAATTAACAACGTCTGAAACAGCAAAGGTCTTATTACCCGAGTTGTGAATTCCCAATACATTGATCTAGGGCTGCACGATTAATCTAATCCCAAT